AAAAAAAACAAAAAAACAACTCAAACAAACAAAAAAAAATAGAGGGAGTAGGAGAAGCCAAGTAGTTCCTTAGAATTGGGGAAGGTTCAGAAGAACTTAAGAATAGTGGGAGCAGAAAGGGCGAGGTACATAACTTTCTATTTATGGCAATGGAAAATTGGCAACTAGATATATACACACATATACAACTTTTAAAAAGATAAAGAGAAATACAGGGAGAGGCAGACGAAGCCAGGACTCCTACAACAGAGTCAACTGACCAGGGAAAACCTTTCCTGATTTTCACACTGCTCTTCAAACTGTTTCCTTCCGGCCCTATATGCCCATCATGCAAATGTACTGTACTTAAAAAGAAAACAGATAATACATATCATGGAGTTTTGAAAATGAGAACACAAGGTAGCTTTTAGGGGCCTCAATTTGATTCACAGTATTTCCCAATTCACTAACAAGACAACAGGCAACTCTTCGTAAAGACACTGGCTGGCAAGACCATCATCCTGGAGGTGGAACCCAATGAGACCATGGAAAATGTGAAGGCCAACATCCAGGAAAAAGAAGGTGTTGCCCCTGACCAACAGAGGCCCATCTTTCCAAGCAAACAGCCACAAGATGACCACATTCTTCCTGATGACAATGTCCAGAAAGAGTCCACTCTGCACCTTGTCTTACTTCTTGCATCCACAGTGTCCAATGATGGCACTACTCTACACAAGTCATTCACCCCAACGTAAGTTTAGAAACTACCAGTTTCGGTAATAACTGAAACTGTTCAAATTTTAATAAAGGTTTTGTTGCATGGTTTAAAAAAAAAAATGAAAACTGAGTTAAACAAATTTCTTGACCCAAAGATATCTTGACCCAAAATATAAGTAACAATGATTCAAAGCTGTAAGAAAAATTGTAGTGATAGCAGTTTTTTTGATTGATTAAAACATATGTATTTTATTGTTTTCAGTGAAAGTTTACACTGCAAATTAAATTCATTTTTAACAAAATTCTACACGATTTCACAGTGTCAACTTTCTTATTGTTTCTGTTCTGGTTATTCCTTTTCCAACAATCTAGTTTTCCTGCCCCCTTCACTTCTCATCTTTGCTTTAGAACAAGTGTTGACACTTGGTCTCATATAAAGAAGTACAGGACTCACAGGTTTATTTAATGAGCCAATCTATTACTTAGCTAACAGATGAGCTCATGGAATAGTTTTGGTTCAAGGTTTAAAGAGTATGTTAACTAGTCCAGTAAGTCTGGACTTCTTGAGTTTTGTTCCACATTTTGCTTCCATTCCATCAGGATTCATCTATTGTGTTCCTAATCAGAATGGTCAGTAGAGGTAGCTGGGCTCCATCTAGTTCTTCTGATCATTCTTTGTTTTAAATGTTTAGAGTCTGTATAAAGCATTTCATAGATTCTGATTAATGAGCATCCATAATCAACAAACATGTGTTAATAAACAGATTTTAAAAATAAAAAAAAATTACTCAGAAATAGAATTTTGAACTACTAGTAAAATGAGGGAGGACCCTGAGAACACAAAGAGGCTACTGACCATCCATGTCTTTGATGAGAGTCCAATGAAGCTAAATTTATATATGTATATATACCTATATATATGCATGTAGATACAGACTTATGCCCATCAAAAATATATTAAGTCTTAACTATGGATTTCTGGTGTGGCATTGCCATGTAATGCAGTAAACTCCAATGTCGGTTTGGGCTGTTGAGTCTGGCAACTTACCAGTTGCTCCTTGGAAACCCTGTACAGGGTCACTATGAGTCTGATCCCGACTTGATGGCACTTAGCAACAACATTCTCAATATAAAAATAAACTATTTCAGAAAAAAAGTATATATGTTCTCTTCACAATGCAACGTTGCTTAAAGAGTGATATAAAAATGACCTGTGGCAGCCCTAAACACTGAACAAATACCGTTATGGTACTATGTGACTCAGCTAACATAGGAAAAGAATGATGAATATTGAGAGCTTAATTTGTGGAAATAAGTAGGGTTAGGAGCTCTGGTAGCGTAGTGGTTACGAATCGGGCTGCGAACCTTAAGGTCAGCGGTTCGAAACTACCAGCCGCTCCGCGGGAGAAAGATGAGGCTTTCTACTCCCGTAAGGATTTACACCCTCGGAAACCCTGTACAGGGTCGCTATGGGTCGGAACCGACTCGACGGCACTTAACAACAACAACAACAGAGAGCAAAGAGCTGGTGTGGAATGCGGGTGCCTTTACGTGTGGCTGTGGTGATTAAAACCAGAGGGCAAATAATGGGTCAAAGTCAGAGGCAGCAGAGGTCAAACCTGAGATATATGTCACATCATTAAAATTTGGATTGCTGAAGTGACTATCAGGGCTGAGGTATGCAAAGAGGGTCACAGAAGGGAGATAGCTTGACATGTGATTGACCATCAACCTCAGGATGAGGGGCTACACATAACATGACAAGATGATAAAGGTTTGTGGGTTACAAAGTGAGGAAAGTCACTTAATTCTCACAATAGGGCTCCCCTCTCCTACCCCCCCCTTGATTATGGGGTTTATTAGGGAAGTAAACAGGTTACGAATCAGACTACGAGCCTCAGGGTCAGCAGTTTGAAACTACCAGCTGTTCCGCAGGAGAAAGATGAAGCTTTCTGCTCCCAAAGATTTACAGCCTCGGAAACCCTGTACAGGGTTGCTATGAGTTGGAACAGACTCCACGGCACATAACAACAAAAAAATAGGTTACAAAAAAACAGGAACAAAAAGCAACTCAAGGTGCAACAGATTTTCAGTCAGTAACGCTTCTTCTCTTCCAGATTGCAGACATGCCTAACTCTTGTCTTCAGACAAGAGTTAGCCCCTGCCCTTAGCCTCTGGCCTGCTTGGGTAAGTGTTACGAAGCTCTGTTAGCCAGTCTGTGAGTGCCAAAAGGGCACATTCTGCAAGCCAGCCTCCTGTCCATAGGCACTCAGCTTTACTCAGTTCAAGGGCTAGAAGAGCTGCTCCGCGTTGCTGCCTCTGTCATCACCTCTGCTGTCGCCGCTTTTCTAGGTAGGGAATCTCATGCTTCTCTTTTTTTTTGTCACCTGTGTCCTTTTTAAAAATTTTTAATTTGCACTGAGTGATAATTTACATGGGAGAACATCAGTTTTGCACTCATCATATTTTGCATCATTGCAATGATTACAATTCCCCCTTCCATGTATCACCATTCAACAGTATTTGCTTCTATTCCCTCTGTTTTTTAATGTACACAAACACACTCAGGAACCTATAATCATTTAAACAACCCAAGGGCACATTCTTCAAGCCTGCCTACTGGCCACCAGCACACAGCCTTTCTGTTTCCATGAGTCTAGAGTCCTCTGCTGTTTTATCTCTCCATGTTATCATCTCTGCCTCCATCTTTGGTGTCACTGCTTCTCTGGATAGGGTCCACATTCTGCTCATGTTCTTCTCCCTTGATGGTCCTAGGGTCCTCTGTTCCTGGACTATAAGAGTAACTACTCCCCACTTTATTTTACAAAACTTTTACCTTTACAGTTGTGACTGTTGGAATTAGTCATGAAAATAATTACTCACTGCACAATAGGGCTTTTATTCATTCCCTGTACATACAGGGAGTTGGAGCTATCTAAAACAAGCCAATATAGGATGGGCAGAAATTAGAATTGAGTCTTCTCCTGAGAAATAATATTCTATTGTTTTTACACCGAAACGTTGTAATTGAGTCCGGGCCTCTGTAGTTCCACTGAGTGTGATGTCTTATAATAATTGTTCTTAATTTTTCACAAAAGACAAAGAGGGTAAGGCCATCTCCATAGATCCAACCAGGCATATTTCCAAGATTCCAAGGTACCACATGGAGTTGCCATGAAGAACAGGCTTTTTCCCTCAGGCAAAGAAAATGTGCAAAATGATCAGGCCACCCACACGTTACTGTGGAAACTTGCTGACTGCTCTCATGGAGTGGTCTAACCCTGCCCATAGGGTCACTGTCACTGTGATCACCAAATTAGAAGTTATTGTGTAATCAACTCTCATGAGAGAAGATGAAAGGGAAAGGCCATGTGATGATGTATTGAGCTGCACTTCACTAGTGATGTTCAAATGGAGATTGGATGCTCAAATGAGGGGCACATCAGAAGACATTTCCTGTTCTGAATAGGAGTGTTCCTCCCACTCTGAGATTCTCTAACCTATTTGCAAACCATCATGGGCAAATAGGATATAAGGAAGGGTTGTGTCATGAAAAGCAAACCAAAATTCAAATCAACTGCTGTCAAATTAACTCCAACTCATGGTGAGCCCATGTGTGTTAAAATGGCATTGCTCCATAGGGTTTTCAATGGCTGATTTTTCAGAAATAGATCATCAGACTTCACTTTGGAGATGCCTCTAAATAGATGAAAAACCCCAACCTTTTGGTTAAGAGGTGAGCATATGAACCGTCTGCAGCATTCAGGGATTGTTTCATAATGAGACAAGTTATATTTAAAGTCAAATATGGCAAAGGAGCCCATGAAAGAGGTGGAAAGTTGATAGGGTTTTTTTGAAGCCCAAAGAGAAAGAAAATTTCCTTCTTTGTGTGGCTTCTAGCTTTCTACCACAAATTCTCAGTCCTATACTGCCCGTGCCTGTTGTATGTATGGTCAAAGACCTTCAAGCCCTGGACCTGAATCCATGTGGGATTATGACGATCACGGTTCCCAAAGGAAAGGAGGTCTCTGCCATCACTGGTTTGGTGTAGGAACGTAGATGATTCCAATTTGCTCTAGAAAGAAAAGAGGTTTTAGTAAGAGATGACATTCTGGTCAGTTTCCTTATAGCTCAAAGATAAACCATACAATAGTTAAGCAAAATCTGAGAAGCTGGCATTGACATTTTTAGCTTGCTTTATCAAGATTCTCTTAGTACGTGACAATTTTTAACTGAAACTCACAAATTCCACAAGATAAAAAACAGGAACTCATAGTCCATGTGCCTCCTGAGAGAGGTGCAGTTGTTGTTGTTAAGTGCTGTCGAGTCGATTCCAACCCATAGCAACCCTGTATAGGGTTTCCAAGGAGCAGCTGGTGAGCTTGAACCACCAACCTTGCAGTTCAAACGGCTTTGCAGTCTGGCGCATTAA